CTACCAGCGAAATATTTAACTACGAAACAGCCTGATTAGCTAATTAACTAACTAGCTGTTTAATTACCTGAAGGTACTAGATAACGTGCTAGTTTAACTGTCTCTCCATCCATCCAATTATCAGTCTAATATAATTCAGTTCATAAAACTATATTAATTTTACTTCCACATTTAACACAAGTAATTTATTTCGATAACTTACGACGTTTATGCATAAACATGCTATCATTATATTTTATTGCATCATAATCGGGACGAATTTTATCTGTTAACGTTTCTAAACCATTATAATTATTAACGTCGGAGCGTCAGTTATTGTAATAAATTACTTGTGTTTAGTGTGGATTGAAAACAAACATAGTAAAAGAAACAACAGTACATTATTATATTGTGAATAATAAACACAATCTTATGTAATTATCTAATCTAATCCTTTCTGCCTAATGCGTCCGTCCATTAGCCGATGCAGTTGTATATAGAACTATATACACAGTGCGGCAACTGGAAAACGGGACTGATGCTGGGAAAAAATAATGGTTCCATGTATGAGCAATCTGAGCATTGTATATTCAAAGTAGCTTTCTCCTGCATCTACACACTGAAAGTCATCATACATTGCCGTCATTAGATAACGTAGTGTGAGCTGAAGTAGACGTCTCTCTTGTGTGTGTGTTGTGAAGCAAGAATGGAACAAAGAGCGAACATCAAATTTTGTGTTCGGCTGGGCAAAACTGCCACAGAAACGTTTCGAATGATGGAGCAAGTGTACGGAGATAATTGTCTGTCTCGTACACGTGTTTCTGATTGGCATAACCGTTTCTGCCATGGAAGAGAAACATTGGAAGACGATGAACATCCTGGTCCAGCACAAACGATTTGAACACCAGAGTTGATTGAAAAGGTGCGGGAAGTAATCACCAACAACCGATGTGCAACGCTTCGAATGATTTCAGAAGATCTGTGCGTTAATAAGGAAACCATTCGACAAATAATAACTCAGGATTTTAAAAAAAAGTAAGGTCTGTGCACGATTTGTTCCACATTCATTAACAGACGATCAACCACAGCTCGTGAGTTGAACACTGCACGGAACTCATTGATGCCACTGAAAACAAACCCAACTTCCTGAATTCGATCGTTACGGGTGACGAGACGTGGTGTTTCCAGTACGACCCCGAAACAAAGCTACAAATTGCGGAGTGGAAGTCAGCAAACTCTCCCCAAGTCAAGAGAGTTCGCCAAGAAAGATCAAAAATCAAAACAATGATAATCATTTTCTACGACAGCGAGGGAATTGTGCACAGAGTTCATACCCAGTGGCGAGTCAGTTACTGCTGCCTACTATCTGGACATTTTGAAACTTTTGCTTCAGAGAATCCGTCGTGTACAGCCTCAGTATCGAGAAGATGGCAGTTAGTTCCTGTTGCAAGACAACGCGCCAAGCCATAAGGCTCTCGTTGTTAGGGAGTTTTTGGTCACCAAAAAAGTCTGTGTATTGTCGCATCAACCATATTCACCAGACTTAGCACCGTGTGACTTCTTTTTGTTTCCAAAACTCAAAGCACCACTGAAAGGCTGACATTTTGATGACGTGGATACCATTCAAAGGGCTGTAACGAGAGTACTGAACAGAATTCCAGACACGGCCATCCGCCATTCCTCCCAGTTGCTCATGGTCGTTGTGTGCATCGTGTAGATGCAGGAGGAAGCTACTTTGAATAAACAATGCTCAGATTTCTCATACATGGAACCATTATTCTTTTCCAGCATCAGTCCCGTTTTCCAGTTTCCGCACTGTGTATACACACATGTATGGGCATTTATATCGTGTATCCGTCTGCCTGTATATTTGTCTTTCATTCCGTATTCGTTTCTCGCACTTTTTATTTATTATTCTCCTCGCTTCGTAATACCATTTTTACATTGTCGTGTTTATTGACACTGACAATTTAGGAAGATAGCCGTCTTTTGGGTTGTAGTGCCGTGCAGTCAGAAACAAGTTTATCGATGTTTCAGAGGTGTTTCTGCCTCCATCATCAGGGCTATGATGATGATGGTGCAGGACCTCTGAAACGTCGATAAACTTCTACCGAGCGGTGCTACAACCCAGAAGACAGCCATCTTCGTACTCACCGCCGTTAGAACCTTACATCCAACCACCAATAATATGTTCAGGGCGTTGAATTACGGGTAATTTTTCTGTTCCCATATTGTTTCGTAATTTTCACGAAGTAGAGTTAATGTGAAATTTCTCTGGCTATATGCGTGTGTGTTTTTTTTTTTTTCATACATAGGTTCACAGTCGTGATTCCCCCCTGCTGGAGAGTCAGAATGACGTGTTTGATTAACTGTAATTCCAAGTCAATTCAAATAAAAATTATATTGGCAAATACATATTTGACCTTTCAGCTTTGAAAATGTGAAGGATTTGTTATATACATAACTCTGGGAACTGAAACAGCTGACGTGCCTTCGTTTCCATTGGCTTTAGAAGAATGTTTTTGTGTTATAGTTATGCAGAGACTTGCATTTTAATTTGCAAAACCTTCTATTTCTCGTTAATGATGATGAATTTAAAAATTCTTTAGGTCGCCTTAAAAAATTCTGTCTTCGTCATTGTCTCTTTAACTTATCCGTTTTCGCTCAAATCCTGCGTGCTTTCTAACTGCATGTTATGACCATCTCAACTTTTTTTTCTTTATGTTTTAATTTAATTCTTACCTCATCGACGTATTTATAAACTCCTTATCTCTATGATTAAAAGTTTATAAGTGCTTTAATTAAGCAAAGCAAATTAATAACATCTTTGTTTTAATGTTTTTGAAGGCATGCGAATAACAGTTGTTACGTGACTTATCTCTTCATGGCTTGTGCTACTGAATTTTGGAATGTTGCTCACGGCGATCGCCATGTCGATGGATGCAGTAAGCGCCTCCGAAATGTCGGTAAACTTCTCAGTAATATTCATACTTGCCGCCGTGAGAACCTGAAATATCACCTGCGTTACTGTTGTAGGCTAATTGTACTGTGATTTTTTTTAATTTGATGAACAGAAATCGAGCCAAAATATTTACAGTGGAAAAACTTCCATCGCATTTAAATAAAGAAATGTCAAACTTACTCTGGTGGTGGATCCGGCAGGTAAACGCCGTTTTTTTTTCTTCCGAAATCCGCAACTGAATGCAGTCCAGAGAGATTTCCCCGCCAAAATTCTATATGCGTTACGTGTTATCCTCTTCCGTTACCTAGTCACCATAGCCTCCTAGACTTTACTGTCCTAATAAATTAGCTAGCCCTTTGACGCTGAAGTTTGTTTAAATCATATTACAAAATTTGGGCCGTCCCTCAAAGAAAACACAGTACTTTACCATTACATAGATCAGCTGGTTAATGCTGTTTAGGGAAATGATCCCCTTTTACACTGAGAACCATACGAAACCCATAATACAAAGTGCAGGGTTATTGATTCATACAGCAGATGGTACATATATTTACCGCCAGGCTTTAAAGAGTTAAACGACTCTAGATACATTAAAGGGGTTCTACTTTATGCTCAGTTCAGTAGTCCTTTGTAATGACTGTGTACGTTAGTCCTGAAATATTTTTTAGCTTCAGGAAGTGTGTAATGTTGAAAAGAACATACTTTCGCAAAATCGGGGAATTAAGATGTACTTTTTGAACAGTAGACAGAGGGAGGAAGAATTGGATTACACAGCAATAATTAGAGGATTACGTTGTTCTTAAAAGCACGGGCACTAATAGGGCGTATCATCGTCCCATCGATAGTCGTCTCTTTGATTGCACATGAATGTGGCCAGTATAAGCCCCTAATATTAAACGTGAGATTCGGTCCAGGGCATCTGCTTGGTTAAGTGCAGACTAGGACTTTTATCCTCTTCTCTTAAACGATCTCAATTTTCAAAATTAACATAACAGCTCTGCCCAGCGTTTTAGTATTTTGCTGGATAAGAGCATAACGATAACGAAAATCTAGTTGTAGACTCCTCTTATTGTGCTATTTACATAGAACGAAGTTGAACTAGGCTAATGTGAAATTGTACAGAATCATTCTGTCTTAGTTGATAGTGATTGAGGTGGTCAGGAAAAGCTGTGTTTCTATAGAACTTCAAAGTTGTGTCACAGAGCAGATCTCTGAATCCAGTCTTTGTGGCGTAATTTGAATTGACTGGAAGGACTAAGTAAAATCATTAACATCCTCCTGGGAAAGCCGGTCTGTGGCCGAGATTTGAACCTCGGACATTCCCAATACGGATCATGAATACTAACCACACTGCCATGACGTTCGATCAGTACATATCTTATCAACGTACTTACCTTAATAATTACATTCTTTAATATAATCTTTCCATTTAAGTATTACTTTCGAAATTTGTGCTTTCTTCTGAACTTTTCCAATCATATTATTTGTAATTTCTTTACCCCCAAGACACCCTACATACCTAACCAACTTTATCCTTCTTAGCTTAATCACCTTAACAATTTTGATCGAACACATGAGACACGAGTTGATGTCATTTTGTAAATTGGTTCTTATTAAGATCCGTGCTTCAGAACGGAGTAGAGTTGAGTTTTGTTAAAGTAGCAGTTATGGCATTGGAAAGTCGTTTCATAAGTATGAAAATTATCTTCTGGAACTATTAAACGCGATATCGGATTTGTCCCTCGTTTAATATCGATGTTGCTGTGTGAGTGGTCGAAATTCCTGGTAGAGTTTTTCACTCCTTGGCTCGCCGTAAACGATATGAGGGCAATGTACACTTCGTATTTTAGAAGACATACAAACACTGTTAACAACGCATCACTTGCTAACACTACACAAATAACTTCCGATTTTTGATAAATAAATTTCAATCAGCAGTGGTGAAGAAAGCTTATATTATTTTTGTTTATACACGGGGAGACCATTTAGGCGCCCTGTAGAAAAGGTAGATACTATTTTTACAGAGTTATTTATGTGTCCCCTTTTTTTTTCCTTTCAGATCGAGGATGCTATGCTCATGTTTGACAAACAAACTAACAGACATAGAGGTGAGTACAATATATTTTGTTTATCCAAACATTTTGTAAAAAAAATATATGTGCTTATATTTACGCCTTAGTAGTTGTGCAGCTTGATAAATGTTTCCTCTGATAAATATCGCCTCTCTGACATCATATGAATGTCTCTGACGCGGTGACAGTTAACCTGACTTTCCGAGAGCTGAAATTTACGAAGTAATTATCGGTTACCTGCCATTCTGACAGTTGAAGCTGTACGACTTGATCATAGTTACTCGTTATTCTGGTGTTTGAAACTGTGTGACGTGATGCTGTAAATTTATATTTAATAATAATAATAATAGTAATTTAATCAGTGGCTAAGGTTCTTCACAGGCACGTGTACGTAATGTTCTTAGTACGACAAACCACATTATTAATAACACCTCCCACGCTCGGCAGAGCTTTGTGCTTTAGTTGTCGGCTTAAAGTTGTGTGATTTGTTGCTATAAAGAAGGAAAAGGAAAGATAAATAGTGTCGCTTCTGGTATAAAAATGGAGGCAGTTATTTCGCTCATTTATCCCAGCACAACGTCTTCAGCCTTAGCACTATCACGCAAAATGGTGGCGTTTTGTCTGTAGATGAGATTCAGTCCGCGTACTACAGCGCTCTGACTGAAATACTGAGATTTTAAAATTTGCATTATTCAACCGTAGGTTGCCAGTATCTGACGAATGGTTACCAAGACGTAATTACACGCATTGTTTTGTATGGGTATGAAGCCTGTTCTGTATCTCTAAACGAGAATACAGATTGAAGGTTAAGATATCTGTCGTCTAGGTTATTGCCCCGTATAGTCTGGCAGAAGTTAACCGACGTTTCAGTTTATCATCCTGATGATAGGCAACAAGTACCTCTGAAACGTCTGTAAAGGGCCAGGCAACACGGCGGAACATGCCAGAAGACTGCCATCTTCGTACTCGCAGCCATGAAAACCTAAAATCTCACACATAGATAGTGTTTGAAACTATTTACTGCGGTTAATATTTGAATTCCGAGGACGTGACAAGAATGGAGAAAAATTCGTATTAAAAGGGTTTAGTATTTGAATTTTACTTAATATCCTGAAGGTGATTAAATAAGGATGCAGAGATGAATTATCCATATAGAAAGAATGTGGGGAAATTGGTGTGTTTGTGAAATCTGGGAAGCTTCAAGAGAAGAGGCCATCTGGGACGCAAAGACGTAAATTGGTGGATTACACACAAATGGACATTTCAGACTTAGAACGTTGTTAAATGCTATCTTAGTGTCGATTCCGTTATTGTATTGTATATCAGCCATTTGTAACCGCACCACATTTTGACAACGTGTTCTTCCAAGATCAGCTCTATTTGATTTTTACCTCTCATTTACACGGGTTTCCAGTGTCTTTACATCCCTTGAGATTTTCAAGTGATCCTTCAGATTTAATCACCATATCAGTATTACGAGAGAATTAGAATTGAACTCTCACCATGCAAAAAGAATAATTTATTCCTGTAACGCGTATGAAGATCTCTCGGAGCATAGTTTAGAAATCACTTGCTGGAAGGATCATCCCGAAAACTGGAAGGAGTTAAAGTTTCAGAATAATATGTACTTTTCTCCATTCTCAGGAGGTTTACCCCCAGACGTTGTGGCTTCATCTTGTGGCATTGGATCGTGTAATACGAGTGCTGTGTTCAGGGTGGATATGCTATAAGAGACGGAAGGTTGAAAATTTAATTTAAATTCTCGCTGTTAGAAATCTCGGCATATTTACTGTCTTCATTGTTATGCACGTAGAAGTAGAAGGAGGTAGAGACAGTTTGGGGGGGGGGGGGTAGAATTTGTGAGCAGATATGAGATTAGAAAGATGAGTTTCCGGCGTCTAGCACTCTAAAGAAAACCGCATCCCTTCTTCAAAACGTCAGATCAACTTCCGGACGAGAAGCTTATCTGCTCATCCAGTGCCTTCAATCAGCTTTATTCTTTTAATTGGCCTGTGGTGCAGTTTCTTTGTATATACAGGGTGTCCCATAAATCCAGACTGTAGGTGAATTATGTTATTTTGCAGAATATGGACAAAAAAGTATGAAGACGGAAAACTTGTTGAAAATCATGTATTCTCATCCCACTTGACGTTACTTAAAATAAGTTATATTAATGTCAGTGGCTTTTATTTTACAAATGTCTCATTAAGTAAAAGTTAAGTAAAGCTGTCCCCGCTATACGCCATGTAGGCGCTTGGGGGGAGAGGTGGTATAGTTCGTAGTCATTCTCATCCTCTGTAAAGACAGGGAATTTCTTAATCAGATGAGTAATTATAAATTACTGCAATAAATTCCTAAGCCACGGCACGTGTTTGTTAGTTTCATTTGTAAGTTATGCATGCAGCTTGACATTCCAGTCAGTTCACTCAAAGATCAGAAAATGTCGGCCATCTTGTACAAATTCTGCCCCTCTTTCGATTTACTCGCGCGTTTCTTCACGAAGCAGGAAGTGACGTCTAGTGTATAAAATAAATGTGAAAAAAACTTCGCTGATATCGTAACAGAAGGAAGAATTTATATAAAAATAAGATAGGGCTGTCAGCTGTTCAGATTGACAGGAGGAAAAAATCTCTACATTGAATCTTAAGAGAAGATTCACTTCCTTTCTGTACTGTGTATACTCGTGAACTGATTCAGTTTCTAGATCTCCTTGCCTTACACATAACTGAAAATGGATTGGAGTGTCCATGCACTGGAAGTCTGGTGACTGGTTTGGATTTAGAAGTGTGCAAGGAGTTTTGTATACGGAGTTGGGTGTTGTTTATTTTGATTTAGACGCAGTTAATTCAATTCTCTTCTTGATTTATTACTCTGTAGTTTAGTTTACTTTAATTTACTTTGGTCTAGTTTTAATTTGTTAATCGTATTTAATATTAGTTGGTTTCATTTCGTGCAGTTTAGTTTCGTTTCGTGTATTTCACTGTCGCGTTCTGTACTTTAATATTTACTTTGTTCAGTTTGGTTTAGCTTCTTTAATTTACTTAATTTAATCGGTTTTGATTTGGTTGTTCTTATGTGGTACACTTTTCACTAATTTAGTCTATTTTGGTTTGGTTTTGTACGGTTCAGTTAAACTAAATTTAATTTAACTTACTTAAATTTAATTCTGTTTGGTTTAGTGTAGTTGATTTTCTTATTTAGTTCATTTTTAGTTTATATTGTTTAATTACGTTTAACGTAATTTGTTTGGATGTTTAATTTGCTTTGTTTTTGTGTAGTTTGCTGTACTTTATATTCATTTAATTTAGGTTACCTTTACATAGTTAGATTGCGTTTGGTTTACTTAGGTTAAGATTAAATAATGTGGTGTGTGTCACTTTGTTCTATGTCTTTTAGATTCGTCATTGAATCGATTTGTGGCATTCTTAAGACAATAGAGGACGGTGTCAAGTATTTGGATTTGCTCTTCTGTTTTCAAAGGTTCAATGTACCGCCGTGGTCACTTTCTACGTGTACATCTCGATTCTATAAACATATTTTTCTCAGTATGATACGCTCCTTACACAACCTTAGTTTCTACATTAGCATCGAACTAAGTAATGAATGGTAAATTTTTGTTGTAATTTTCATAGTTGTGATATCTGTTATCATCACTTAGTTTCAATTTTAGTTTCACAGTTATGTAGTGTACAAGGTATAAGTGGTTTTGTCATGTACTGAACAAAATACGTCATTTATAATTCTGAGCAAAACGAATGTTACTTGTTTGTTGTATTTCTGTATGACGCATATCGTCAGCCTCACAGGGATTTTTTGGCATCAGTCCTATTTTGGAAAGAGGTATTGGAACATTTTTCTCTTCCTCGTGGTCCGTGTGTGTTTTTTGTTTATCACTACATGCATATTATGCTGTTTAGTTAAATCTAATAACAATTCAATTCAATTCAATGGTAATAATAATAGTAATGCATTCTAAAAACAACAACTAAAGATAGATTCATATACTTCCTTTACTCATATTTTCGTTACGTCTTCATCCAAGTTACGAAATGTGTGTGTGTGTATGTATAAATATATGCATGTATTTATATAATTTGCTTTCTTCAGATTCCTTATGTGATATAATTACTTATTACAGCTGTTGTTTTTTGCGATTGGTGACGATATATAGGAAGGCAGTCTCTTTTATGAAAAGCTTGGAAGCCGCTAATGAAGCGTATTGATGTAGTAAACCTTTCCGCCTTGTTAAAGTACGATAATGGATTGAACGAAACAGCATAGTTTTTTTATGCCAGCTACAAGGATAAGAATATCTTCTCTGTAGCTTGTCCCGTGGTCTAATGGATTGGTGGGGAATCTATGTCCTTCCCAACTGTGTTTTTAATCGGAATTGAAAAGTGAACTACTAACTCGGACTTTTGGCCTCTTATACTTTGTTGGGGTGCATCAAGTTTTGTAAGTAAAAAGCTGGTGGAGGAGTATTTATTTGTTCTTTCGTTTTCTGTTTCTTCTTTTAACGCGCTAAAAAGAAAGTCGTGTCTTGATCAAAGCTAGAGGCGCAAACAGTGGTCTGTGATGGGGCAACTTTGAAAAGAAGAAGTTTTTGATAGGGAGGGCAAAAGATCAGTTGCAGCGGTAGACACGAGGGTTGAACACCTCTG